GAGCACAAAGGTGCTAACAGTTCTGCAGTTTAAGAACACGTCATGAATCTGATGTAGACTTTTTCTTGAGACCTTTCTCCAGAACAAATTTAAGAAAAAACTTAGGAAGATGTTGGTAAATGAGGCCCATTGTTTTTCTGTTATGCTTAAATTTAAATTATGCTGTAAATTGAGCTGCTTCCATGCTGACTGGATGCAAGTTATTCACCCAGAAGTATGCACTAAATCCAGACCCCAAGTCCAGCATGGATCCAGCCGTTGCTATAGCAGTGTGATGTAGCCTCGTGTGGCATAGACGAGCAGGCTTGTGCCGGAGGAGCAGTGTCTAACTCAGCTCTACTCTTCTGTCATCTCTTCACAGTAGGTTTTAATCACAAGTTTTTAAAGAAACCAAATTTTGTTTTACTTCGGGATTGTTTTATTGAAATATGAGTTATCACTAATAAATAGTCATACATACGTGAAACTCAAGTGTTGTGATTCATTGTTGCCATTTTTATTGACAAGTAGAACCAGCAAAGCTTGCCTTTTGGATGTTTGCAGATAAAAGCAATGAATTTCCTAAAACATTCTTAAAGTGCTAATCAAGAGCAGATCTCTTTGGGCTTTTATAGACTTGTCAAAACAGTATTTAATGTTGGTTTAAAACTTTGTCCTCATACTTTTTCATAGTCTGTTTTGAAGTGTGACACTACTATTTTGCTGGTGCATTTTTGTAATTTCCAGCTTGTTCACAAACCTCAGGAAAAGAATAAATATTATAATATATAAATATTACTTATTGCTTTTAACTCTCCTCACATTTATTCCATATCACCATCCTTTTCTACAGTATTTATTGACTTCTCGCCATTTTGTGAGAGTTTAGCAGGAGAAAGCAGGGTTAACTTGCAGCTTCAGAGGCCCTGATGTCCTCACTCACTGTCTCACTCCCTCTTTGCTCTTCTGGTGGATGGAGCAGTAATTAGCAGGGCTTTTGGTTCACATGTAAAAAGGATGTGTCCCCTGGGTGGGAGGGCTGAGTTTGAGGGAGAAAGAGTCTAAACTGAGCCCATTTATCAAGGAGAGGACAAAAAATGGTGTAGGAGTACACAAGCATTAACCTTTATGTATGTTCTTGGCAGCGATTTGATATCGCCTCTTTTAGTTGAGGGGACGTCAGCATGAGCAGAGCAGAATCAGCACCTAGCGTCTGGAGGAAGCCAAGTGAAAAGAAGAATTTGAATCAAATCAATATCCTGTAGTCCAGGACACTGAAGTGTTTTAAATCATTTTCCCAGTCAATTGGACAAAAATGAGTGGATACGGGAAGAAAAAAAAATAAACAGCAATTGATACTGTTAGCCCTGTCACCTGGCTCTGTTTCCTTTGAAAAGCAGTGGAAAAGGAAGACCATTATAGTCATTCAGAAAGAGCAAAGCCAATTTTCTTCAATCACTCTGGATCACACAAACACAAGTGGTGTTTGTGCAGATGTTACGGATGGATCTCACTCAGTAGAAGTCTGTTAAGAGTCTGTCGAGCTTTTGAGTGGAAAATTATTATTTACAGATATTTAGACCCAAATTATTGTATTTTGCAGACTTCCTCATAGTCCTGGGTGGTAGTGTAGGCCCCACAGGCGCATTGGCCTTGCAGTCTTATTGCCTTTTATGGTTTGTTTCTCTTCTGTTTGACATGCAGTGCATTGTAGGGAGATTGTCGACTCGGATGAACTGTAAAGTCTTTCTGCTGGCTTATTGTATTGTGATGGTGCTCCTGCTCTGTGACCTTTGATGTTCCTTTGTGGTTCCTTTGTGGTTCTTTTTTGCCAGTCACAGCTGAGAAACATCCCTAATGTTTTTATAGAGCACTGTAGCACACATTTGAGTGGTTTCATTCCTGGGTTCCCTTGCAGCTTATTTGGTGTATGATTTGTCCAGTCCACTGTCTTTGAATTTCCTCACTTCATCTTTTCTTCCCTTTTTCTCCTGAATATCCTCGCATTTTCTCTTATCTCCCCTCTCTGTACCTCTCCTTTCCCTTTGCTCTCCCTCTCCTCTCTGCCACGCTACACAGCTCTCTGTATTAGCTGTGGTTTGACTCATCCGCTCTTGTGTCTTTGTGGGATTCTGAAGGCACTGAGTCAGAAAGAAGGCACACTGAGTTTCAGCTCCTTATTGAGCCTTTCTGGCCAACGGCTGCCAAATGAAGAGGCAGCCTGGCCCGCGTCCAGCTGACGGAGACGCCTTCCTCTGATCGCATCAACCTACACAACAACGCACGCCCATTCTCCGCTTCCAATGTAGCCTGACTAAAGACAAGACCCATCTGTGCTTTCACCGGCCAGATACACACTTCAGGCATTTGTAAATGTCAGCAAAAATTTGATATGTCCTTTGATGCATTTGTTGCTTGGCGACAGGCATGAAAACACTGCTGGTGTTGCTATGCTTGTGTTTTTTTCCCCCCGTCAATAATCTTATGAAACGATGTCCCATTTCTATCAAGCTTTACAAACAAAAAGGGGCACTCTGTATCTCCACGTTCCTCCACATTCCTTTCATTCTATCATCACACTTTCCCATGTCCACATTGTTTGACCTATGCTGACTCTATGACAAGTTCACTCTTCAAGGTCCAGATAATCGCACCCATTAAAGGCTTTCTTGTGTTTTTCCACATCATCCTCTCAATTCTGATGTCTTTATTTCCATTTCCACATTTCACTCTTTGTAGAAATGGTGGTTAGCGATTTGGAGGCCTGATTGGTTGGAGAGTTTTGAGCAGCCTTGTATACATGCAGCATGTACAGTGCTGTGCAAAAGAGATTTAATTCCTAATTAAAATGTCCATTAATACAATTTATTAACTTTTAGGAGACATTTCTGGGGAGATTAAATGTGAAATAATCCACTTGCTTAAAGACAGACAAAGTCAACGGTAGACAAGTGAAAAAACAGGAGTTTCCAAGCTGGAGATAAAAAAAAAAAGAGTGGAAGATGCAGAGAAAATAGAAAGAGTGTCACCATCAGATAAACAGTACTTAAAGCTTTCATCTTTGAGAGAGAGGAGAAAATCAGTCACCACTCTTGCTTCAGATCTCAAAACATCACAGGTGTTTCTGTTCTTCCTTCCACTGTGAGAAGACAACTCAGCACTATGAGTCTGAAAGGATGTGTAACTGTCAAACAAAGAAGCTGCTGATGCTCTCACAACATTAGGCTGTCCACCCTAGAGTCCAGACCTCAACATCATTTAATGTTTATGGGGTTACTTGGGTCATGAGAATTATGCAACCAATTTGTAAGACTGAACTTTGGTGGTGGGGAAAGCAGGTCTCCCAGAAAGGCTGGAATGGTGTAAAGCGCGCTGCTACTGAACTCTTGAGTAGAGGGGAGAAATATTCTCTGGAGAGGTTAATCACGTTTCATTATCTGGCACTCTGATGGACAAATCAGGGTTTGGCAGATGCCAGGAGACCGCTGCCGACCAGAATGCGTAGTACCAGCAGTTTGGTGGTGGAAGGATAATGATCTGGGATTGTTTTTCAGGGTTTGGGCTCAACCCTTTAGTTCCAGTGAAGGGTAATGTTACAGCACACAAAAACATAATAGACAATTATATACTTCCAACTTTATGGCAACAGTTTAGGGAAAGCCCTGTCCTGTTCCAGCATGACTGTGTTCCTGTGAACCAAATGAGGTCTGTAAAGACCTGGTTTGACAAGTTTAGTGTGGAGGGACTCCGGTGGCCTGCACAGGGCCGTGACCTCAACCCTACTGAAAACCTTTGGGATGAATTTGAACATCGATTGCAAGCAAGGCCTTCTTATCCAACATCAGTGCTTGACCTCACAAATGCTTTTATGACTCAACAAATTCAGGGCACAAATTCAGACACACTAAAAATCTTTTGGAAAACCATCCCAGAATAGTGGAGGCACAATGGGGGGCAACTCCATATTAATGTCCATGGTTTTGGAATGGGATATTCAACTAGTTTGTATAGGTTTGATGGTCAGATGTCCACATACTTTTGCCCATATGTTTATGATGCTGAGAAATAAATCATTTTTACTGAATAGCCATTTTGATGTGAAATGAAATAAATGAGGAGTAGTCTCTGACTTCTGCACAGTACTTGTGACATGCTTTGAATGCCTGACATGGTATTGGGGATGGAGGTAATAGAGCCTGGGAGAACTGGCTGAGCACGAACAGAAAGAATGAGAGAGAGTGCTCTCTTCACTCGTATCATCAAACAAGAAAAGAGGAGTGCATGTTTTGTTTGATGGCTGAGTGCCACTCGTTTAACTAGCCTTTTGGTGAAGAAAGATGCTGTGTTTTTGCTTGTTTCGTGGAAGCAACCAAAACTTAAGTATTTACCCTGATGTGCTTACGACCTTTACTCATACAAAGAGATGCGCCTTAAGCCTAATGGAGATCCAGCCACGTAGTGCTTCAGCATGCAAAAATGCCAATTATCAGCTGAGGCAGTAAAATTTCATATTACTTAGATTATTCACTCTGCCCCCGGCAACTGTGTCATTAGGAAATGGGAAATGTTGAGGAAAGTGCGCAGAATAAAAAGAATGAAACGCAGTGAACTTCATCCGACCTTGACTAGTCTTTTGTCTGGAGCAGAAGTTTCCAGTCCATTTCCTTTCGCTAATTACAGTATTTATCCTTGTTATGTCCTTGTAATGTATTGTAATATGCAGTCCAGTGTTACTTTAGGGACCTATTATTACAAGCATTTAAACCAAATGCAAAACACAATTCACTGTTTGAGTTCAGTGCATGTTGCACATTTTTGTTATGTTGAAGAGTTTGTAAGTAATTAGTAGGAGGACTGTGTAAATACAAATTATTAGCATTATGATTACTGTTGCAGTTATTGAGCTGATGTGTTTCTCTCTGAAATAAAGTGGGAGCAGATAAGTTCTTATTTGTGTGTGTGTGTGTGTGTGTGTGTGTGTGTGTGTGTGTGTGTGTGTGTTTATCTGTGTCTGTGCGCAGGCCGAGCTCTGATGAGGCTGACGGACAGAAAGCTTGAGAGAATGGGGATCATGCAGGAGAGTCAGAGACAGTACATCCTTCAACAGGTCCTGCAGCTTCGTGTCAGAGAGGAGGTCCGCACCCTGCAGCTCCTCACACAAGGTACGCTCACAGATCACACATTAGTAGTATCTCAGATAGTGCTAGCCCATTCTCTTGCCATTTAGTTCTGGCTCATCCCAAGAAATCTGCCCGTTAACTGTGTTTGGGATGTATTTTCTTATTGTATATTGGGGCGCTGTGGGGACGTACTGCTCTAGCTACTGAGATGCCTTTCATTTTCTATGCTGTTGGTTGCAATAACCATAAAGGAAGCGAGGGATTAAGATTGTCAGTGAATTCTGTTACCCTCTCTCATGTATTCAGCTGCACAGTATATTCAGAATAAACTTTAGTTATTTCCAAGATTGGTCTGGCTGACCACGGTAAGCCTCCCTCATTCCCTTTTGTTGTGATCAAAACCTAATCACTGTGGTCTGTCTATAAATTAGCTAACATAAATCCTTTCATTTTACCTGACTAAAATTGACTTTTTCTTTTATAAAAGATCAGATCCCGGTGGCAGTGACCGGCTAGTAGGTTGCAGAAATTAATGACAGGTTCCGCTCTTTACTGGCATATATGCCATTTGATCTAAAATGTACCAGTGGCTCATGAAACATCATTTTCTTTTATGCCTGAGTCAAGTGCCACGTGGCATTCTACAGAATGCTTCTACAGATGTCAGATTAATTTAGCTAGGTTGCTGTTTAAGAACTTTGCATATAGTTGTATTTAAAGGTCTGAATACCACTGGTCAAAGTGCATCATTTTTGATTTACTAAGTGAAAATGAATGAACACATCCTCTACAGAGAACACACAGTAAAAAATATCTATATGCACATTTGCCTTAACATAGTGGGGGGGGGCAGGGGACCAAAACATAACTTGTTAAATGTGCCATAACCTTTGTGCATGCTGAATTTTGTTTTATTTTTTTAATATGTGAAGTTCAAATGAACAGTACTTGTGCAAGAAAAATGTGTTAGAGTAAGTCATTTTTAAAAGATGTGTACTTATTTTCACTTTGAAAATCAGTCAAACATGTAATTTGTTAGGTCTTTTACAATTAGGCCTTTAGCAACCACTGCTAGCATAGTGAACCTTAGTAAACTAGTCATCTTAAGTCTGCTAAACTGAAAGATGTTATAGCAATATAATATCATTTTACACATTTTGACTTAAATGTATATTCCTTTGATCGTTTAAATGAGATAAGGATAAAAATCAGTGACATACCCCATTTGTGATGGGCATATTCTGCTCATTGTTGGCGTATTCCACTGAAAACTGGCATGTCCACTGAAAACTGGCCAGTCAAATGCTGTTGCTCTATAAGGATCACAGCCTACTTTTTTTCACTTTGTCGAGGTTTTATTCTCTTCTGAAGTAGGGTAAGTAATCTAAGCCATCTTTCACATGTAGTTCACTTTGTTAGAAATCCAGCCCTGAAAATTGTGGCCTCAGAAGAAAAATCCTGTGACTGAAACTCAACAATAGCACACGTCATATCAGCATAATTAGGCCGTTTGAAAACCAATCCAGTAACAAGTACTAACAACTCTAAATCGTAGGGTGGTGTACCTTTTGTAATCATTAATACATATAATTTTCCCAGTTACCGCCCAATTCACACCAGTTGATTTGGCTTGTCACTTCTTTTTCTGAACATTATAATTACTCTTGCCAATATTAGAGTGTCAGGATAGTTAGAATATGCTGGGTTGGTGTGCCCTGAACTTTAAAGTACTTCAGCTGTGTAAATACAATGTGGCTGAACAGTGTATAGTCCAGTGACTCTTACAGTACTTGAACCGAAACAAGATTTGTTTTCAGACTCAGATTCCACTAACTGCAAGGAAGTGTCGTCTTTCACTTCTTTCTGTTGTGGTTATATTTATAGATGATGATGATGATGATGATGTCATAGATCCATTTGACAGTTAGCTTTACAATTTTTATTATGTGTTATTAAGACCATGTAAACTATGCAGAGATTGAGGCCATGTATTTTACCAGAACTTCTAAGGCAGGGGTGCCCAATCTTAACCGCAGAGGGCTGGTGTGGCTGTAGGTTAGACTAAGACCAGCTGCTTAGTTAAGTAGAATCAGGTGTACTTCAGCGTGTTTGGAATGAAAACATGCAGCCACACCGACCTCGCAATACTCAAGACATTTTCATGGTATAAGATATGTATCGTGATATTGTGGTTTTTTTTTATAAGGTTTTCTGAGCAACATATTGGAACAGGCAAAAAGTAGGAGTGCCATAAATTACATTAAAATAAACTTTTTGTAATTCACCACTTGGAAATCAAAACTGTTTTAAGAAGGAACAGGTTAGAAAAATTAAAAAATGTATAAAAACAATTCAATAACACAAGATAAAGGCCTAATCCAGGCCTCTAGTCAGCTGCCTTTGACTGTAAGGTATTATAAACTGATTGTTGTCATTTAATTCATTGCTTTGATTGATATATATTGGTCTAAGTATACAGACTACGCCCACAATATACTTAGAAAAGCATATTGTTGAATATTTTATATCGATAACGATAACACATCATTATATCAGCCTTATTCAGAGTTTAAGACCTTGCACTTGCTTGGGGCTTGTAACCAATTGACATATGTATGATGGACAGATGTTATATTGACCTCTTTTCTCAGAGATGCAGACTGACTACCAAGATAGTGTGCTTGGTGCGCCCATGCCTGCACCCTGACAGACATGAGGATGGACAGCACACATAGACACAGCGGGGTCCTGATTCAGCACTAGTTGACAGCATGAAGAAGGAAAGTGCAGCAAGCTCACGACAGGCTAGCTTTAGCCTCTGACAGACAGTGGAGAGGAGAGGATGGTGAAGGCCTGTTTGCTGCACACTGGGCTAGCTATAGCTTCTTTCCAGCTTGTCAGTGTTGGGAAAGTGGTCTGTTTGACTGAACTGTTAACTGTGCCTTCTGTCCAAACAAACAGTGGAAGTATAGAGCGTATTAGTGCTGGCAGAAAAGAGCAGATCTTTGCCTCACACGGTAGTGCAGCCAGCTTTTATGTTTGGCTGGAGATATTAGCATCCTTGAATGCAAAAAAGCTGGACAAACTTTGTGACAGAGATGCTAGCTCTGTTTGGCAGAAGCTACATTAGCGCTACCATTCCGTCCACACTGATGGACTAGCAGCTATTCTGGCGCTCCGGCAGCGTCATGCAGACGGACGGTAATTAACCTTTAAGGCTCATTGGGCCATGGAAGGAAAATAATTAGATCTTGGCTCCCTGAATGCCAGCAGGATGATTGGAAAGTAGTGGCTTTATCAGTTACAGTCAGCCAAGCAGTAGCAGTCACTTATTGTTCATAGCCCGTGTAGCAGACCGCTGGGCAGAAAGAACTGATTCACTGTTGTCTTTCATGTCACTTTTGTCATCATCAGAGCTGACTTAGCCTGAGGAGATCATTGAGTTTGTGCAGTCGTTGGTGCACACTAGGATGTGCTCTTGATGCGGAGTAGTCTGGAGCATGACTCAGTGCATGGAGCCTCGCTAAGAGGAGCAAGCTTTTCCCATTTTCAGCATGCTTTCGATGAAGCACATTAATCAGATTATTTTCGCACGTCTGAAGTGCTTCACTCAGCGGCTTTGCCTCTTCAGGAAAAGGGTTATGTTGGTGCTAGACAGCCTTTAAGATCTTTTTTAATGCGTGTTTACGTGAAAATGACTGAACCGAAGTCTGATTTTAACTTGACTTGAATGCTATATCTTGTGTCCAGAAGGGACAGATTCCTTTCTCTCTTTATGTAAGTTGACGCTTGTACAAGCCCATGACAGATAATGTCTTAACATCAAAAATAAATAACAAGCTGTCGACATTAATGACATGTATGGTCTTCAGACAAGCACAGCAGATGGCTTGGAATGCAGTTGTTCAATTGTTTAGCAGGCTTGTGAAAACTGCTCCTTGCTAATCATTTTGACACACATACTTCTCATTAGTGTTTTATAAAGTACCTTCAAATCTGTATCCATGACTACATCAAATAATCATCCACTTCAACACGATGAAGGCGACGTGCATCTAGATGATAAAAATAGATGTTCTCACCATTCGTTTGTTTAATGAATCCCGGCTCCAGACAGCTCAGGAAGTGGAGAATGACTAAAGCATAAACAAACAGGTTTCATAAACAGTTTATTCTTTGGCGAGTGAGTGCATATTTCTTCTACGTTCCTTCTTACTTTCCTTTTTTAATGGTTTTTCTTCTTGCATGTCTGCAGAAGCTGGAGATACAGCATACTTGGTGCTCATTTATATTTTGTATGTTAATTAACTTATTACTTATACTTTGAGGAATTCACAGAGGTCAAACCTCTGTAGTTCCCTTTCAAGCTTTCAGGTTGTCCGCCATTAATTACACGGGACAGCATTCCTCATAGCAGGCTATTAAAACTCATTAATCAAACCCATGGACACGCAGTGTGACCAGTAACCAACTGGCAGTGATGGAAAAATCTTTTTATCTGCCAAAGAGCTTCTTTTAAGGAGTGGAGGAGATACAAAACCGGTATTTTAAGATATGTATTTTACATCATCGTAAAACTTTAAACTCTTTAAAATACTTACATCACAGATGTGTAAAATGCCCATGGGGTATAAAAGGGTGCATCCACTTCTAAGATGCTTAAATGTGTTATGAGGGTTTCACAAGCTGTTTGTAGTGCATTGAATGTCTTCAGGGTCTCTTTTCTGAAGTGTGTGGATTCTGGTGTAGTGGAGTACATCACAGGGCTGTGGTGTAAGGCTGGTGTAAAGCTGGTTTTGCGGTATATTAGTGGTAGTCGTAAATGTAAAATTAGCTGTAGTTATGTCTTTTATTAGGCATGGTGCCAGGCTGTATGCATTTAAATCATTCATTTTGCCCAGCAGGTTTATAATTCAAAGCATGTGAACCATTAGTCTCACGGGGACAGTCGCAAGCTTGTGCCAAAAAAGAATACACATCTTGGGACAGTCATGAGAATACTTGGGCTGAATATGGGTGGAATGTAGACGCATCAGGATGGG